ATACTGTGAGGACTTCAGCATGTGCGAAAAAAAATTATAGTATCTCCAAACAAGTTTTGTTAAATTAAACCAACAAGGGTCAAATATTTAATTTATGTTTTTTGAATTTTAAATATAAGATGTACATTGGAATCCAAATTGTAAACTGTCTGAAACTTATTCTTTGCACCGTTTTGTTCATGCGTGTATTTGTATAGGTGCTCTGTTTATATATTAAACAGTATACTAATTTACTTTTTGTCCACCAGTCTGAATGTTCAAGAAATTTTCTTAAAAAATTTGCATTCTTCAGCAGGAATGGAACCTGCATTCCTTGGAGTAGAGGGAGTCACTGTTTAGCCTTACCGCTTGGCCAGGGAGAAACAGACGGTCAGGCAATACCAATTTCATGCTTTTCAAGCAAAATTTCTTCTGCTATAGACACACACGCACACAAAGAAACATGCAATAGCAAATGGTCAGAAAAAAAATCCAAGAGAAAAAATAATTCTTGAGTGAGAAAACCAAAATTCACAGCCAGCTTTTAAGACTTATTGATTTAAATGACTGAGAATGGATCAATAATGAAAGAGTAGGATTATTATATCTTTTTTGTGTATCACCATGATGCTGAAAGTTAAAACAATGAAATGTGAGAGAAAATGTTTATATTTGTCTATTTTTCATAGGAAGGAAGCTAGGAAAAGAGAGAATAGTCGAGAATGATTTATTAAACAACAAAAAAACAAAAAAAACAAAAAACAAAAAAAACTGCTGTATTAAATGACAAGACAACAGTCTGTACTTTGTTGTATTCCTCCCAGTTTTTTTCCTCCTATCCAAGTCAGCCAAGTGGACATGTGAAGTCAATGTACCCCTAAAGCCTCTCTTAAAACAGGAAGTGTGGATGAACCATAATATGAAGAACAGCTGCTTGACCCGACTTTAAGCCTTTCTAAGGATTTGGCAGCAAAGAGAAACCAAAAAGATAAATGGGAAAGACGATGTTTTTGAATGAGAAATTAAACTTGTTTCAAAGAGAAAATTGGGTGATGAATTTAGTATAATTCTTTTATGCAAATTATATATAAAATTATTTAAATGTTGGCTTGAAGTTGTAGTACATAGCCTATTAATGGAAATATTATTAGTAAAGAAAATATAATGTATAATTTAAGATTTAATAATTAGTCCAAAGACCAATAATCCATGCAATGTTAAATACATAAGTATAGAAAAAAAAAAAAAGGACCCCTCAAGCAAGACTTTAGCTGAAGCTAAGATTAAATGACTGTTATCGTAAATTAAACTCGTATCTTTTATTCCAAGTCTAGGGAAAAAGAAAAAAAAAAGTCATTTATACTTATAGTCAGAAAGAAACAGTTGAAACTTTTAGGTTACAGTTTGAGGAAAGAGGGCTTGAAAAATTTGAAATTCACATGATATATCAAAAGCAAAAGGGATTGGGCGGGGGGAACAGAGTTACCTACATAATGAGCTTGTGCAAATGGATAGCAGAACAGGGAGCAGGAGGGGTATTAAAAAAAAAAATTACAGCTTAGAGCTACAAAAGATAGGAAAATGTGGTGTGCCATGGCACATGGAAGATTTTGTTGTCTTATGTCTCTTCAAATGGAGAGACATAAGAATAAGTGAATTTAAATTAATGAAAAATCTAATGTGACCAAAAGGAAAAGTTTCTAAATGGTTGGCCTGGTTTTGCAAAAAAGAAAGGAAGGAAAAAAGAAAGGAAGGAAAAAAGAAAGGAAGGAAAAAAGAAAGGAAGGAAAAAAGAAAGGAAGGAAAAAAGAAAGGAAGGAAAAAAGAAAGGAAGGAAAAAAGAAAGGAAGGAAAAAAGAAAGGAAGGAAAAAGAATGGAAGGAAAAAGAAAGGAAGGAAAAAGAAAGGAAGGAAAAAGAAAGGAAGGAAAAAAGAAAGGAAGGAAAAAGAAAGGAAGGAAAAAAGAAAGGAAGGAAAAAGAAAGGAAGGAAAAAAAAGAAGGAAAAAAGGGAAGGAAAAAAGAAAAGAAGGAAAAAAGAAAAGAAGGAAAAAAAGAAAGAAGGGAAAAAGAAAGAAGGGAAAAAAAAAGAAGGAAGAAAAAAAGAAAGGAAAAAAGAAAGGGAAAAAGAATGGAAGGAAAAAGAAAGGAAGGAAAAAGAAAAGGAAGGAAAAAAGAAAGGAAGGGAAAAAAGAAAGAAGGGAAAAAAGAAAGAAGGGAAAAAAGAAAGAAGGAAAAAAAGAAAGAAGGAAAAAAAAGAAAGAAGGAAAAAAAAGAAAGAAGGAAAAAAGAAAGGAAAAAGGAGAGAAAGAAAAAAAAAAAAAAAAAAAAAAAAAAAGAAAAAAAAATAAAAAAAAATTCAATACTTATAGTTAATGTATTATATAAGAAATGTGCAGGCAGTGTTATGGTTAGTGTCTTAGAATGAGAAAGCAGTGAGTAGAGTTCAAGTTCCAGGCTAGTCTGTTGCATTCCCTTTTGTAAAGGCATGAATCTATCTCTTCTCCGAGTAATGGGTAAAATAGCAGTGTAAATTTGCTTTACAAACCATGGAGAAGGCAATAGGAAACCACTCCATTATATTTAAAAAAGGGACAATAAACAAACGTTACAACATAATATAACAAAATTAAAGAAAATAAAACCATCTATTGAAGCCAATTTATTCTTTTTTCAGTAAACAGTATGAAAACTACATGTAGACAAATGATGAGATAGGAAAGAAAACAAATGGAAGTTAAAAAGAAAAGGTAAGATAAAATAACAAAAAAAGTAAGAGATAAATTTTATACAGTAGGGAAGAAAAAGAAAGCCAAAAATTAGAACATCTAACAAAGATACTAACTACTGTTAATTTGAGTATTGGGTATGTCAAAATTAACCTTTTTAAATCAGTCGCTTCATTGAATTATATGCATACAGAGAACTTTGGAATATTTTAAAATACCTCTTCCTATTAGCAAAACAATTTTACACCTATTTAAGAGGTGAATATGTTTTGTTGTGCCCAATTAAACAGATACCAACTAGTGATTAAATTAGATCATATATATAAAAGGGTTCAATCAGGATTGATTTAGTCTTACACACTCATCAATGAAATTAAAGACTGAAATGAAACTTACTTTGATTAGTAAGTATTACTTTTGGTCTCACGTCATTGGAAGGTTTATCTGAAATGAAAAGAAAAAAGAAAAATCAAACAGAAATATACACAAAGTTGGCACCAATTAAACTGATTTTTTCTTTTTTTTTTAAAAATGAAGATTTCACTCCAAGCAAGGTGATAAAGCCACTAAGATCAAAGGGGTAACTGGGAGTGAAAGAGAATAAAAGAGGATAGCAGTGTAGAGAAAAGACAATATAATAACAGGATAGGTGAGAAAAGAAAATTCTCATTAGAACTGAGAATATTTTGCCCTTCTTTTTTAGTTAGGAAGATTCTTAAATGGTTTTCAAGGTAAGCAGCTTTTGCTGATGAACTGGCATCATCAGAAAATTTCCTTGTGAAATAAATGAGAAGCAACTAATACAATTCCAAATCATGACCATGTACTCATAAAAACATTTTTAAATAACCAAGGTTTGAATTAGACATTTATGAAGTAAAACACAAGTCAACCAAAATTTGTTTGGAAAAAGAGAAAAGCATGTGTGAGTGAGTGAGTGAGAGAGAGACAGAAGAGATAGAGAGAGACAGAAGAGATAGAGAGAGAGATAGAGAGAGAGATAGAGAGAGAGATAGAGAGATAGAAGAGAGAGAGATAGAAGAGAGAGAGATAGAAGAGAGAGAGATAGAAGAGAGAGAGATAGAAGAGAGAGAGATAGAAGAGAGAGAGATAGAAGAGATAGAGATAGAAGAGATAGAGATAGAAGAGATAGAGATAGAGAAGAGAGAGATAGAGAAGAGAGAGATAGAGAAGAGAGAGATAGAGAGACAGAGACAGAAGAGATAGAGAGAGACAGAGACAGAAGAGATAGAGAGAGACAGAGACAGAAGAGATAGAGAGAGACAGAGACAGAAGAGATAGAGAGAGACAGAGACAGAAGAGATAGAGAGAGACAGAGACAGAAGAGATAGAGAGAGACAGAGACAGAAGAGATAGAGAGAGACAGAGACAGAAGAGATAGAGAGAGACAGAGAAAAGAGGAGATAGAGAGAGACAGAGAAAAGAAGAGATAGAGAGAGACAGAGAAAAGAAGAGATAGAGAGAGACAGAGAAAAGAAGAGAAGAAAGAACCAACCTTTTACAACCAGTGTAAAGTTTCCCCATGCTTTACCATGTTGATTCTGAGCAAAGCAAGAATACTGGCCATTGTCAGACTTGGAGACATTTTCAATGACTAAAGCATAACGAGTTATTCTAAACCTGAAATATAAACAGGAAAAAAATAAATAAATAAAAAAATACACACACAGCCAACCCCACCCCAGTTCTCAGCCATTTAAATTTCAGTAAAAAAAGAATTCTATAACTAATATTATTTTTCACAGATTTCATGGTAATCTATAAATAATAATGTAACCAGGAAATTGTTTTTTTTCAAGTAAATCAAACACTATCTTGCTATGTTATATGAAAAGGTATTTTTTTTTTTTTTTGGTAATGTCTAGCTTTTGCTTTTACTTGTATTATTCTCCTTATTCTGTTTTTGTTATAATAATGGCCAGCTGCTGAAACACGTTTACAAAGTTTGGAGATAAAAAACATAACCCATAAAGGAGTGGAGTACAAAAATATTTTGAAAAAAAAAAAAAAAAAAAAGCATTTTTTTTTTAAATGGCATAGGTAAATTAGTTTTGTATTAATCTAGCAAATAAAAAGCTATTCAAAGAACACTGGATGATGAAAGGATATATATATATATATATATATATATATATATATATATATATATATATATATATATATACACACACAGTGTAACCCGGGTATAAGATTTTTTCTGGTCCCAAATTAGAGCCTGTGTTAATGTATATAAAATAGACCAAACCCAGATATAAGAGACTTCTTCTCTGGTCCCGACAACTCTCTTATATCCGGGTTACACTGTATATATATATATAAAATCCATTTAACAAACAAGAAGTGCAGTATTGGTTTGGTTTATCTTGTTTTATGGCATATCAAAATCAGATGTATTGCTAGTAAGAATTTTTTTTTTTCAAAAATGTATTGCTTGTATATTTACCATAAAAATCTATTTTTATACTTTCATGTTTTGATCCCAGTTTCAGAGTTCACTATTTGCCAAGGCTGGGATCCTAACAAGTGCTACCACCCTGGTCATGGTGGACGTGAGAACAACAATTAAGAAGTGGTTCCATGCTCCTCAAAACCTTCTGATCAGAGGCCTTGCTGCTGGATGTAGTTTGTCATACCCAGGACAAAAGTGCAATATTGATCAGTATATAAAGCTAAAATTATTATGTAATTTACCAAGCAGGAGGGAATATTAACAATAACATGTAGTCAGATGCACTTTTATATCTTTTTAGTAGATAAAATCAATCACAGCAGTTCAAAATGACTATTTAGTATTATTTCTTTAATGTTTTTTTTCTGTTAAGAAACTATTACAAATAATGGCATTGAAATAATTAAAAAAAAAAGCTGAGACAAGCAAATTCCTTAGCCAAGATCAAATTACATGGAAGAGATCAGGCTTCTTAAATATCTTTAATCAGAATCAAATGGCTTCTAAGAAGATTTAGAACCAGATTGCTTGCAAGTTAAGAAGCCTTAAAAACCATAAATAAGCCCTGCCTATCAGTTTCCCTGTCAATTAGACAAATGATAAATATTTTTCCTTTAGAAAAGTTTTGATAACAAACTTAGTTGCCTGGTATACCAACATATTATATTTTGAGAAAACAGTTCTTTGCAAGATTCTGTTTAACAGGCAATGATATTGCTAACTGAATTCAAGGGAATCATAGCACACACATTTGCATACTACTGGAAAAAAACAAAACTAAAAAAAGAAAAGTTAAAAATTAATAAGGAAAAAGTTTCATCTTAGAATTCAAGTAAACTGAGGAAAAAAAAAAAAAAAGAAAAAAGTTTCCTTACATATTTTGTTAAAATTTACAATTTCCTGACAACTTATTGTTTTAAATATTAAACAGATACAACAAAAGTGCAGAAGGGTCCTATCATCAAATCTCAAATGAAATTGCCAGTGTCATTCAGTTATTTTCTTTAATCCTGCTGTCCCATCTGCCATGCCTATTTTTCCAATAATTTTCCTACAGCACAATTAATTTGTGCCATATTTATTAAACTTATGTAAAAATTCCCAGCAGAACATTTATTTCAATTGGCACACTTATTTTTATGAGTTGAAAAATTCTCACTGTCATATCAGTCCCAGATGACACAAGTTCTCCCTTTATTAAACTAGATCCAAAGTTCCAAAATGAATAGTAATAATAATAAATATTGAGAATTAAATATTAATAACAAATTTTCAAACTGTTTCAGTATTTCTAACATCCTCATTCTTGTTTTGGCTGCAGCATTCTTCAGCCTTCCTCAGATGTCATGTGCTAAATAAGATTTTTTTTTTTCAAATCTACTCAATTAAGCAAACATTTTTTTTTGTTCTTAGCATACTAAAGGGTAGATAACATGTGCTACACCTTGAGATATTTTGTTTACCCCCTCCCCAATATCTTGTCATTTTTAGGTTACCTTTTATGAAGATAGTGACCATAGAAATATATTGTGACAATGTAACATCTGAAATAGAGTTATCACATTAACTTACCTTGGTAGACTAACATTGACCAACTGGTCATTTCTGTACCAAGTTAACATTGGCCGAGGCTTTCCTTTGACTCGGCACTGTAGTCGTGCCCTCTTCCCAACATATTCTATCTCATATGTATTTGGCCTCCTCTGGAACTGAGGGGCTAACAAAAAGAAAAAAAAATTATTTTGTTTTCTAAAATAATACAACATATATAAATAAAAACAGTATTTCTTTTTAGAGTATAACACAGAAAGAAAAATGTAAGGTACTGCAATTATGCTTTTTATTTAATTTTTCTTGTATTCAAACAAGTGTTTTCTTTTCTGGACACAGAGTTTGTAGAAACAAAACATTTGTACAGTTTCTACAAACTCTGTGTCCAGAAAGAAAACATTTGTTCAACACAAGAAAAATTAAATAAAAAAAGCTTAATTGCAGTACCTTGTCTGTTGTCTTTAATGAAACATATATAAATGAAGGATTGCTACCTAAATACACAAATATTATATATATATATATATATATATATATATATATATATATATATATATATATATATATATATAATTTGGTGTGAGGACTTCAATAAATATAAGGAGCTGCTGAATCAAATTTTTGATGTTTGGCCATGTAGTCAGAATTGAAAAGTGGTCAAGAACTTTTCAGCACCTACCTTGTAATAAAAAAAAAAAAAAAAAAAAGAGAAGAAAAATTCCAAAACCTATCGTTTCTATATAATACTTTTCTTTTAAATAGTGATATAAATTCCAGTCAGTACTTCAATAATAGCCACAAACACAATACATTTCACATAAAATCTATACAACAACAATAAAGTTAACTTGATTTATGAAGGAATAAGTACAAAAATTCACAATCATTTTTTGTGGCTGAAAAGCAAAAGGTGAGATATTAAAAAAATAAAATGTAACAGTGAAGGAGATAATTCACCTATTAAGGCCTGCAAGCCCCTTTGGTATCTACCCTAAGGATGCTTGAAGCCACCAGTGAATTAAGTGATTTAAGATTTTATTTTGTCATATGAGGGTGGGAAAATAAAAACAAATTGTTGAATAAATCTGAATGGAAAGTGCAATAAACTGAAAGAAAAAAGTTAAACTGAAACTGGCTGGGAATAGGCTAAGAGCCATATTGAGGTTTGAATGTGTGGATAACTTGAAATGTTTTAAACCAGTTGTGAACTCTAATATGTTATCTGGTACAATAGATTATTTAAGACTTATATAATAACTTATATCATATTGGAAATGTGAAGAAAGGAGAGAGAAAAAAAATCATGTCCATTTTTAAAATTATTAGTTAGTTCTATGTAAAAGATCACCTCCATGTTAAGTAATGGTTAAAGTATTCTACAAAGTTTTTAAATATGTAAACTTAACACCAGATAAGTATGTAACTTATATGATCAAGAAGATTTGGTAAATAAGTACACCAAAGCTTTTATTGACTATAATGATTCAGTCAGTTATGTGCCATGCCAGATACACGCTTAGGTGATCAGGTATCTTTCAATACATGATTGACGAGGCAGATTTTCCCTGCAATGGGTTGTCATTTCTTTCTGCGGTAGACCAGTTGCCATCCAAGTTTTTAGAACCCAGTCTGTCCTTCTATTTACCCATAGCTAGGGGGAAAAGAAGAGGATTCATACCTTTCCCAAGGGTATTAGCACATAAGTGAATGTAATGGATTCGACTGGAATTCGAACTTAGCTCTCCGATTCCTCAATCTGAGCCACTATCCATTACTCCACTGCACTTCCTTATAATGATTACATATGCTTAAGAAATGTTATTGCAAATACTCAAAAGCACATCATAGTGAAAGTAAGCAGTTGCCAAAATTTCTATAATTCAGCACAGACACTAAAAGCATAGAAAGCATGGACTCTCATATAGAACAATTATAAATTGAAGATGATCACTGAGAAAACTTTTGCAAAATGTTAAATTCAAGGACATCCACTCTCATAGGGTAGAAGGGATACAAAAAGTTGTCAGTCTACTCTTGAGCATTTGTTTTAGTACAACAAAGTGAAGGTTGTTAGCCAATTAGAATCTTCATAGCAATGTTAGTTCTTAAAACTAAAATGGAGGCATTTGAAGATTTAAGTTTTGCTTTTTGTTGTGCAAGTTTTGCCATTCAACCTACATGTGCATAATAAAGAAAAGGATTTTTAGTGCTAAATGTTTACATTTTTTGTTTTTGTAAACAAGTACAGACATACTAAATTATCTTTATATTTTTATCTACCTTAATTCTTGCTGCCATTAGGTTTGGTTTGGTTTTTATGGCATATTAACCTCAAAGGGTTATTTAATGGCAATAAGATTTTTTAGGATAGATTCTTATGAATAGAATATGTACTTTTGTAAGAAATCAGTTTATAGGAGATCCTGTTTCATTGATGTATTTTTGTAAAAAAAAAAAAAAAAGTTTTTCTCAAGTGTCAAATCTATTGCTGGTATTTTTATCATAAAAATCTATTTTTACCCTT